CCGACCATTAAAATAAGAAACAAACACAAATACAAAAAAATATGAGCCGTTTCTCAAGGGGCTTATTGAGTTATATGGTCCATGTGATATCATCATTTTTCCACACATCATTTTTTTAAGGACCGACACCTAGTGCTGCAGGGAAACATAAAAGGGATTGGCGACCACACATCATCTTTTAATCGACTTATATGGGCCTATGGCATAAAGCTACGTCTTTCCTATTTTGTGTGTAAATTGCCTTATAAGGACCAACACATGGTGCTTTTGGGAAACATAAAAAGTTTGAAGGAGAGCAAACAACGTAACATTATTTATGAGTGGATCAGAAAATTCACGATTGGAGGGAGATTCTGCCACACATGATGATAGCCTCAACATTATCGTCTTTGTCGGGCATGGGGCGCCTCCGAAGAGTGAGGACAAAAATGATGGGTTGAAACTGATACATGTGGGCCTATGGCGTAAAGCTATGTCTTTCATTTTTTTTCGTGTGTAACGTTGTCCTCATGAAAAAAAAATCCATTATGATTAGAATACTGATGATATATCATGTATTTTTATATAAGTGGTTAAAATTTTTATTTTTTAAGTTATTAACTTTTTAGCATACATATCCAACCATTTATATAGTAACATGTGGTATACCATCCTATGTTCCGATCATACTAAAAAAACTCTCCTCTTCCTACTCCATTACGTCAATCATACTTCTCTGGCATTGTTTACAAATGGCTCTCAGTGTGGCCAAATATTACAAGTGGCTTAGAGAATTCACTATTGGAGATGACGGAGGGTAAGGAGATTTTGCCATGCATGACAATATCCTCAACGTTATCATCTTTGTCAACCATGGGAAGAAATTATTAGATGGTACAGTAGCACCACTTGACAATGACCGGACGAGAAATTATTAGATGGTACAGTACTATCAAGTGGCAATGATAGTTGGTAGTACCCACCAATAGGTGCATGAAATGGAGAGCTAAGGGGACCCAAAAAAAAAACAATATTCTCAATGATGAGTATGAATTCCTACTCAAAATTTCTCAAAATTGTTCATTATCAATTTATAGAATTTTATGTTTATAATTAGAACCGTTCATATTATAAATCACCCTATAAAGATCACATTTGCAAAAAAAAATCAATTAAAAATAGGGGTGTGATATCCACACACCCCCATTTTACTTCTCACACACCCCTTGATAATTTTTGTATGTTGATTCATTCGATCCGACGGCTGAAAATTAAAAAGGTGTGTGAGAAGTAAAATAGGGTCTGTGAATATTACACCCCTTAAAATTAAGGTCGTTTAGTCATCAAACTGTTTAAAAACAAATGAAAGATATTGGTAAAAGCATTACAAACCGTCACTATATTTGCGACAATAAATTGACAAAACGACCTTTTTTTTTTTTAAGAGATAATCTTTACAGTGTGATTCATAGTATGAACGATTCTAATCATAAGTACAAAATTCTATGATTAAAATACTAAGAGTTTTGAGTAAGAGTTCCTACTCATATTTGAGTAGCGAAGTATTGTTCGTTCTAAAATCCTTTCCACTTTTACGCTTGAGTTTATTGTTCTAACCGTACTTTTTTTTTTTTTTTTTTGGTTTAAGGAGCTTGAGACATCAAAGTAATCTTTTGGCATTCTATTGTAGAGATATATTTTTCCTCCGAGTTTTGCTTCAACATCCAACAGTATGTTTCCACCGACAAATTCTTACAAATTTGAGCCAAGCTACTGGAAGTCTACAAGGTAAAAACATAAACCTGCAAGATTTGCGAGACTAGTGGAGAAGAAAAGAGAAGGCAAAGAAGGAAAGAGAGAGAGAAGAAAAGAGAGACAAAAAGTGAGACTGGTTTGGTGGCCAGACTGCATAAAGAAAAGGAAGAGGAAGAGACATACGTCACTTGGGTTTAGTTAGGTTATGGGCCTTTGGACCTTCGATTTAGTTAAATTTGGTCGGCCTTGCGAGAGATTAGTATTAGATGGGCTATGTTTATTGAATATTTAAAAACATAAAAATTAAATTATCACCTTATTTTTTTAATGTAGATAATATCGTTTGTTTAAAAGAAAAATATAAAAATTAATATTAACCGGTTCAGTTCAATCATGCTAGTTTTTCAATTTGAGAACCTGAATCGAAACCAATCTGAACTGGCTCAATTCAATTCTTGTCAAAAGTTGATTTTTTTGGTCAACAAACACAAATTTTTTTTTTCGATTTTTTTTTTTGTCATGGTCCATTTTGCTTTCTCGGTTCTATGTTTCTCATGCCCACCCCTAAAAACTAAAGGTGTCAAACGGTCTAACACCTAAAGGTGTCATATGGGCCTAAGCCGTTCTTGGGCCGTGCCACTAAACAAGCTGCTCAACAAACTTCAGTTATTTTATATTTTCAGAAAACTTTATTTGAATCTAGTTTAAATCCTAATATTTCAATTATTTAGTTGTATTAGCTCCAAACTGTATGTTTTACTTGAAAAATAATGAATAAATATATTAATATTTTAGAGAATTGTTATTAGCACTCCAAAAATCTCATTTGGCACTCCAAAGTTTCTATAATTAGAAAGAAAAATACACTTGTGAGGAGTGTAGAATTAGATTTTTGGAGTGCTAATATCAATTCTCATATTTAATTATGTATTAGTTTAAATGGGATAGTCATCATAGTGGCCCCACGTCATGGGTCGTGCTTGGCCATGATGAATTGCAGCCGGGCCGGCCTATTGGACCTAAACCTTAGGACCGACTTGGTCACTCATTGCTAATTGTGACATGCAGTGCCTTATTTAAATGAGCTTGAGTCGTGCCTATTTTAATAAGGCACGGCCATTGACATCCGTTCTTTGTTGTGGTTTCCCTTTCCGTTCTTACTATCTAACAGACATACTATTTCATTCACCGTCCGTAATTTTCCGTTTTACAATGGGAAAGGGGGGTTCCAGTTGTGTGTGGCGGATTTCTATTGGGATCCTATGAGTTTAATTAGTCATTTATGATTTATGAGTGTTAAAGTTTCCTCCTGTATAATGAGTCTGTGTTCTCCTCCTGGTTTCTCAACTTATATGTGATTGTATGGTAGACAAAAATGGATCTTATAAAGAAGTCGTTGATGTCCTCAAAAAATGGATGCTTTGGTGGTAATTACTTATGTTCTAACTTCTAATCATATTGGTCCTTTAACTAGCAACTGCTAATAGTTATGCTAAAATATGACTTCGAAGCCACTTAGTACTACAGTCTAGTGATATTCTTATTCATTAATAAGTAAGAGGTCTTAGGTTCGATTATCGCTAAATGCGAATTTTAACCACATTATTGCTATCCCATTATAAGGTTAAGCTCACGCCTCCTCTTTAGTGTAGATAATATTGTTTGTTAAAAAATGACTTGGAAATAGAAATAGGGTGGTGTTAACCGCACACCTCATTTTATCTTTTACACTCTCTCAATTAGATTATGTCTACAACTACATATATAACGCAGTTATTGTTTTACATTTGAAACTAGAGAAATAGAGCACCATGATCCAAAAGACCAGAATTACAAATGTTTTGACAAGTAGATAACAGCTTTCCTGCCCTTGGCACTTGTTCAACCTAAAACACCAATTCAATTTTAGTTCGAATAAAAAATGTTGTGAAAATTACAAGAAAATTAACTCGCTTTTTGCTTTGTTCTTCTGTACAAAGGGATCCTGCCTAATTCACTAATTCGGGGTATAATAAAATTATATTCTTCTAAAAAGCTTGTAGACAATTAGGCTGAAATGCGAGTATATCGCTCTCCTTAAGGAGATTAAAGTTCACTGCGGTTTAACAAAGTCCACGAACAAATGCAGCAGTATATCCCATGACTTGTTCCCTCCATAATACAATAGCCTAACAAAATTGTTTTGTGACTCAAACCTATCTGCACAAAAGGAAGAGTCCAAAGCTCAACCACATGAACACTCTTCTTTGGTCAGTAAGTAAAAACAGAAAAGATTGAGGAATGGAGAGAATAATTGTTGTATAAGAAATTAGGTAGTGGGATAAAACTAAAAGAAAACGAAGGATGATGGAGAAAATGCTACTAATTATAGATTTATTATCACCCTTAGTGGATAAGGTAATATACACAAATTAACAAGACAAAAGTTATAAGAGTTACATAAGATGAATTGCTAAAAGACTCCATCTTAGTTTTCCCACTAACAACAAATAATAACAACCGTCTAACTTCTCACTTACAACAAATAATGGCAATTATAATTTATTTATTAAATATTAAAAATACACCAACAAAAAGCTTCTCTTTTTTTTTTTCATTTTTGCAGTGGCTTTGCCCCTAGATGAGTTGATATGCTCAAAGTAGCTTCCCCTTCTCCATATTATAGAAAATAAATCTTCTTTAAGAAGTATAAATGTCCTGGCAAATGACACAATGCTCTTACATTAATCTGTTAAAGTCCCACATCGGTGGGTGCAAGAAAATCAAAGGGGTTTAAATAGTATTACTCTACTCTAACTAACACCGAGGCCTTTTGTGGTAAAATTCCACACCTGAGGATTGTGCAGGTGGTTAAGTTAGGAACAATATTGGTGTCGTTAGAGTGGGACGGGCCCGGCGATCCAAAAATTCCAATATGGTATTACAGCCCACGGTTGCGGGCCTATGCAAGCCAATGAGCTTGTCACCAAGAAGGAAACAAGTTTGAACTCTTAACAAAGAGACGACCGCTGAGTTCCATTGAAAACAAGTGGGCCCAACGTGAGCCGACATCTGAGTTTCAATTACCGATGTGGATCTCCACGTGTGAACCACTAAATGAGGTTACACATGAGTGGGAGTGTTAAAGTCCTACATCGGTGGGTGCAAGAAAACCAAAGGGGTTTAAATAGTATTACCCCACTCTAACTAACACCGAGGCCTTTTGTGGTAAAATCTCACATCTGAGGATTGTGCATGTGGTTAAGTTAGGGACAATATCGGTGTCGTTAGAGTGGGGCGGACCCGGCGATCCAAAAATTCCAACATAATCTAGCCATGACACTTCCCTCTTGGATGGCGATTTCTCTACTTCGCTGTTCCACAGGTGCACTGCATAAGTCTCCATTTCATTTAGCTCATTAAGTGTGATTTCCACCGCTCTTGACTCCGATTCCAGTCCACGGGATAAAATGCCTTGGGAGGCAAGATTGTAAGGTTGTAACCTGGTGTGCTTCCAACTCTCTCAATTACCCTCGAAACCAAGTAAGTGTTGAATGGTGGCCAAGTGGCCATTACCTTTTGGCTATTAAACAAATCAAAAGAAAAAAAGGACAACATGATTATGTTTCTTCCTTGTTTTGGGGAGAAAAAAAAGGGCACTTTGTCTAAAGTTTTTTTTCTTTGGTCCATGTGAGAAGTCACGGGACTCCTAGGGTTTTTAACTAGCAGCAACAGCTGCCTTTTGTTGTGGGATAAAGGCAGTCGCATAAGAGAAGAAAATAGGAGGAAGCAGCAGAAAGAAGAAGAGAGGTACGCAGCTCCCATATAAGAAAGAAAGGTGATTTTCTTTCTTGGTTAGTTCTCACTCAATCAAAGTTGTATTTGTGTATTAGCTTTGAGCTTCGTATAGAGAAGAAATTATTCATTATATTTCTCTCTATTTGTTTCTTTGGAGTGTGAGAGCTATTGGTTGTATTGGGGTTTTGGGTTGTGAGCTTGCCAACACTTTGTAAACTTCCATTTGGTTGATAGTAGATTATTGGGTGAGCTCATACTGCTCCGAGGATGTACTCCAGTTACACTGACTGTTGAGGAACCTCGTTAAAATCTTGGTGTCTTTTATATTTTGTTCTTGCATTTTCATTAGATAAATTTCCTGTGGGTTAGCTTGAGTTGGTTCCAACAGGTTTGGTGCTATCCTAGCACAACAATTGGTATCAGAGCACTGGTTGCTCTTGGGTACTGTCTAGTTGCCAAAGATGTCAGACGGGCAAGATGAGAATCCTTTTGGAAGCAGCTCCGGGTTTGCAAGAACTACGGTGCAAAATGCAAAGTTCGAAGTGAAAAAGTTTGATGGCACAAACAACTTCAGGATGTGGCAATGTGAGGTCAACGATGTGTTGGCTCAACAAGATCTACTTGCCGCTTTGGGAGAGAAGTCGGAAGCTATGTCGAAGCCGGAATGGGAGAAATTAAATTTGTGGACTTGCTCTTCAATTCGGTTGTGCCTTGCAAAAACTCAGAAGTATTTTGTGATGTGGGAGACGGTAGCAAGTGTGTTGTGGCAAAAATTGGAAGACAAGTATATGACGAAGAGTGCAGAGAATCGACTACACTTGAAGAAAAAGCTCTACCGCTTTCAATACAAAGAAGGTACAAAAATGATTAGACACCTTGATGCTTTTAATAAGTTGATTGCCGACTTATTAAATTTAGATGAGGATATTAAGGATGAAGATAAGGCCTTAATATTGTTGAATTCATTGCCGGACTCTTATGAGCATTTTGTTACCATTATTATGCATGGTAAATAAACTGTGAAATTTGAAGATGTGTCAAATGCCTTGATGAATTATGAAATGAGGCATAGAGATAAAAATCATGATAGTACCTCTGAAGCTTTATTTGTTAGAGGTAGATCATCGGAGAGGAAGTCATCTTCTAGTAGGAAAAAATCACACTCTCGACCTAGAGGAAACTCTAAAGGTAGAAAAACCTTGGAAATGGATGAATGTGCCTTTTGTCATTATAAGGGCCATTGGAAGAAAGATTGTCCTAAGTTGAAGACCAAAGGAAAAGAAAGTTCTGAAGCCAATGTTGCTGAGGTTGAAACATATGTTTTTGATTTTGCTTTAACCACTTCCTCATCATTTGAGTGTGCTACTAAATGGGTGTTGGATACGGGTTGTACTCATCATATGACTCCTCACAAGGATTGGTTTTCAAGCTTGAAAGAGTTTGATGGTGGTGTTGTGTTCATGGGAGATGACAATCCTTGCATAACAAAAGGGATTGGTACAATTCGTTTGAAGTTGCATGATGGCATGGTTAAAGAGTTGACAAGTGTTCGGTATGTACCGAATTTGAAGAAAAATCTTATTTCTTTAGGTACTTTGGAATCCAAGGGCTTCAGGTTTCATTCAGATGGACAGACATTGAAAGTTACTTATGGTGCACTTGTTATGATGAAAGCTCCTCGATATGGCCATTTGTATTTATTGCAGGGAAGCACTGTGACAGGTGAAGTATCTGTAGTCTCTGAAAATATGGGCACATTTGATTCAGATACTACTAAACTGTGGCATATGACTGTGGCATATGAGATTAGGCCATGCCGGTGAGAAAGCTCTACAAGGGCTTGTGAAAAAGGGTCTTCTAAAAGGTGCCACGACTTGTAAGCTTGATTTCTGCGAGTATTGTGTCTTGGGGAAGCAAACTAGAGTGAAGTTTGGTACTGATGTACATCAGACGAAGGGCATTCTTGATTATGTGCATTCGGATGTTTGGGGTCCTACAAAGACTCCCTCTTTGAGTGGTAGACATTGCTTCGTGACCTTTGTTGATGATTATTCAAGAAGGTCTTGGGTTTACACTATGAAGCACAAGAGTGAGGTGTTAAACATTTTCTTGGGTTGGAAGAAAATGGTTGAGAACCAGACTGGGAGAAAGATTAAGATTTTGAGATCGGATAATGGTGGTGAATACACATCCGATCCTTTCTTTAAAGTTTGCAAAGAGGAAGGAATTGTGAGACATTTCAATGTTCGGGGAACTCCATAACAAAATGGAGTTGCAGAAAGATTGAATCGAACCTTGCTTGAGAAGGTTAGATGTATGTTGTCTCAGTCGGGTTTAAGCAAGTCATTTTGGGCAGAGGCAGTTAATTATGCATGTCACATCATCAACCGGTTACCCTCAACTGCTGTTCAGGGTAAGACACCAATGGAGGTATGGACTGGAAAACCTTCTTCTGATTATGACTATATCCGTATTTTTGGTTCACCTGCTTATTTTCATGTGACTGAAAATAAACTTGATCCTAGAGCCAAAAAGGCTATCTTTCTTGGTTTTAGTAGTGGTGTCAAAGGTTATAGGTTATGGTGCCCAGAGATGAAAAAACTTGTAATCAGCAAAGATGTGACATTTGATGAAGAAAGTATGTACAAAGTCTCTGAGAATAATGTGAAAGATGTCCAACAGGTGGAGCTTGAGAAAGTTGCCTCTGGTACTTCAAATCATATTTCCGCTGATGTCGAAGCTACTACAAGTGAAAAAGTTGGAGACCATGAGGATGTTGAAGAAGTTGAACTTGAAGATTCTATTCAAGTTGAAGAGCAAGTTTCACCTCAAGAGTCTATTGCAAAGAACAGAAGAAGGAGACAAATTACCAAGCCAGCTCGGTATAGTGACTATGTTGCTTTTGCTCTTCCTATTATCATTGATGATATTCCATCCAATTTCGAGGAAGCCATTGAGAGTGAGGAGAAGAAGAGGTGGTGCAATGCCATGGGTGATGAGATGAATTCTCTCTTGAAGAACAAGACTTGGGAGCTAGCTAAATTGCCTAAAGGCAAGAAAGCTATCGGTTGCAAATGGGTGTATGCCAAGAAGGAAGATGCTGATGAGAAAAGCAATATGAGATTTAAAGCAAGATTAGTTGCTAAAGGGTATGCACAAAAGGAGGGCATTAACTACAATGAAATCTTTTCTCCGGTTGTGAAACACTCCTCAATTCGTATTATGTTAGCTCTTGTTGCACAATATGATCTTGAGCTTGTGCAACTTGATGTGAAGATGGCTTTCCTACATGGTGATTTGAATGAAGAGATTTATATGTGTCAACCGGATGGGTATATAGTGAAAGGGAAGGAGAATTTGTTTTGCAAATTGAAGAAATCACTTTATGGCTTGAAGCAATCTCCAAGGCAATGGTATTTGAGGTTTGATAAATTTATGAGAGGCCAAAATGATTCTAGAAGTCAATATGATCATTGTGTGTACTTCAAGAAGTTGCAAGATGGGTCTTTCATTTATTTGTTGATATATGTTGATGATATGTTGATTGCCTCAAAGAATGTTGAAGAGATTGAAAAATTGAAGAAGCAAATGAAGAATGAGTTTGAGATGAAGGATCTTGGTGAAGCGAAGAAGATCCTTGGCATGGAGATCACTAGAGATAGAGAGAAGGGTTTGGTCAGTTTGAATCAAAGACAATACCTTGAGAAGTTGATTCAGAAGTTTGGAGTTCATGATTCAACCAAACCGGTTAGTACCCCTTTGGCTCCTCATTTTAAATTGAGTTCTCTACAATGTCCTAAAAATGATAAAGAGAAGCTGCAAATGAAAAATATACCATATGCAAATTTGGTTGGCAGTTTGATGTATGCAATGGTATGCTCTAGACTGGATATTGCTCATGCAGTTGGCATGATGAGTCGATATATGCATAATCCAGGTAAAGAGTATTGGCAAGCAGCTAAGTGGATATTGAGGTATCTCCACGGTACTCGAGATGTTGGTTTATGCTTTGAGAGAGATGACTCTGGTATTGGTCATTTTGCAGTTGGTTATGTTGATTCAGATTATGCAGGTGATATGGATGGAAGGAAGTCTACTACAGGCTATGTATTTACTATGGCTAAAGGGCCAGTTTGTTGGAGTTCCATTTTGCAGTTGTCTGTTGCCTTATCTACTACAGAGGCTGAATATATGGCAGTTGTTGAAGCTATAAAGGAGGTCATTTGGATACATGGGCTGATTAGAGATTTGGGGGTTGATCAGAAGCAGGTGGAGGTACATTGTGATAGTCAGGGTGCCATTTATTTGGCTAAGTATCAGGTTCATCATGCGATGACCAAGCACATACATGTGCGTTATCACTTTGTTCGTGAAATTGTTGGTGAAGGGGAAATCATTCTCCAGAAGATTCCAACTAAAGACAACCCCGCTGATATGTTGACTAAGGTTGTTGGTGTAGCCAAGTTTGTTCATTGCTTGAACTTGGCTCACATTTTGCCTATATAAAGAAGGCGTTGAGCAGTAGGAGTTTTGGAGCATTTGGCTCGGCATGAGTTGTTCTCTTGCTAGTGTTTGGGAGTGATGTTGTGTGTTAATTGTGTTGGTTGGCTTATCATGGCGTTTTTCGGAACTTGGCCAAGGTGGAGATTGTTGAATGGCCATTACCTTTTGGCTATTAAACAAATCAAAAGAAAAAAAAAGGACAACATGATTATATTTCTTCCTTGTTTTGGGGAGAAAAAAAAGGGCACTTTGTCTAAAGTTTTTTTTCTTTGGTCCATGTGAGAAGTCACGGGACTCCTAGGGTTTTTAACTAGCAGTAACAGCTGCCTTTTGTTGTGGGATAAAGGCAGTCGCATAGGAGAAGAAAATAGGAGGGAGCAGCAGAAAGAAGAAGAGAGGTACGCAGCTCCCATATAAGAAAGAAAGGTGATTTTCTTTCTTGGTTAGTTCTCACTCAATCAAAGTTGTATTTGTGTATTGGCTTTGAGCTTCGTATAGAGAATAAACTATTCATCTATTCATTATATTTCTCTCTATTTGTTTCTTTGGAGTGTGAGAGCTATTGGTTGTATTGGGGTTTTGGGTTGTGAGCTTGCCAACACTTTGTAAACTTCCATTTGGTTGATAGTGGATTATTGGGTGAGCTTCTACTGCTCCGAGGACGTACTCGAGTTACACTGACTGTTGAGGAACCTCGTTAAAATCTTGGTGTCTTTTATATTTTGTTCTTGCATTTTCATTAGATAAATTTCATGTGGGTTAGCTTGAGTTGGTTCCAACAGATTTGGTGCTATTCTAGCACAACAGTAAGGTCCATTGTGACCCCATTTGTTCCCATTAAAAGTTGTAGCAAATTCTTCTAAAAAGTCTACCAGAATCGGATGGTTTATATCGAAGATCATCACTGCACCATTTAGTCTGGTCCATTGTTTGGAGTCCTTGCCTACACTTTGTGCTCCAACTGCATTCCTCAGACTCGAAAAATCCTTCAATATTACTAAGTCAATGTCCAAATATATGCCTCCATACTTGTACAGCATTGCGAGCCTAATAAGATTTGCTAGGTTTTGAGATAATGGGATGTGACCTGGGTCCTTCCTCCCGCTCTTCAATTCCTCAAGCCAAGATTCAGCCGGCGTGTTCTTGACCAAAAAGGGCAAGTCAGGCGTGATTGCTAGTATTTTGAAGCCTTTGTCCAGCAATGGTTTCAGGATTCTGTACCCTCTTTCCGAATCCATGGATTTCGATACGATCATCAAGCAGCCTTGAGGGTTGGATTTGAAGAGGGTGTCCATAGCCAAGAAGTCTCGTTTCCCAAATGACTTTGCCGGTGAGAGCCATATCAAGTAGAACTGAGAGCTGCATCCATTGTTAAGGAATTCGAGCACTCGACCGTGGAATTGCTTTGTCAAGTTTTCAGAGTTGAGTATATCAAGCTCCGGTAGTTTTCGCCCGAACCCCTAGCCTTTCTTCTTTTGTGGCCTTTTCTGGAGGAATCAAAGGATCATGAATTTCATCTGCAATCAATATTTGCTTGCATACTTGGAAGCGGTGACACTGATTCAAGTTGCTCTTCAGGAATTTGAGTCTGGTGATTATGTTCAAGAATTTGATGAGTTCTTAGGTCATCTGTTTGCATGGAAAAGAGAAAATGCTGTCTGCATAGATGATGAAGAATATGATGGCAAATGAGACGAAGGAAAAAAAGGGAGATTTGGCACTGCATCTAAGTTGCCGTAATCAAACACCTTTTGAGAGATTCTTTTCAGTTTCCTAAGAGTAGAATGGCGTGAGGAATTTTTTGGAGAAAGCATTGTTCTTGGTGTGTTGCATTGTACGGTATGCCAAATACATGTATATATAGTACCTGAGACGTTTAAAACTTTGCAGATGCTGTCCATCTGTGGAAAATTAGTTGCATGTTAGAATTAATGTGCAAATATTTACAGTTGTTCTCAATTTAGAAAAAAATGTTGTATTAATGTTGGATTTAAATAATTGTAGGGTTTATTATTGGATTCATTTCTTTCAATGTTCAATCAAGGAGTAATTTATGAAAAAATGTCACATTACAGCTACTTATTAGTGATTATACCGATTACATCATGAGATTATCAAACAATAATGATTAAAGAGGAACACGGTCATCATTTTAAATAGGGATTCATCTCCATAAATATTTGCAAATCACATATTAATATATGAAATAACTTATTAAAAACAAAAAACAAAATATATTTGCATACGTGTCAAGTTTTATTAGTTGGAAGTATGGATGCAAGTGGGATTAGAAATTCCGATTCAAATTAATTTTGAGCCAAATTTTCCAATTGTGGATGCGTGAATGTAATCCAACATTCAATATCCGAATTTCCAAAAGAAAAAAAACAAGTAATACTACACTCATCTATTTGTACCACAATTTTATACATACCACCTTATGTGGCAGATTAATTAGGTAATAGCCACATCATTCATATAATCTAAATTTTTTTATGCAATTAAAAAATTTTTAAAAAACATAAAAAAATTAAAACAAAACCATAAAAAAAGCAATGCTACTGTCGCTTCCCTCCCTCACTATTCAACAGCCACAACCGTTTCTCAACCAATGATCACAACCTTTTCAATCATAAATTTTCCGATTATTGTTTACCATTGGATTCATTTCTTTCGTTATGAATAAACTCCAAACCCAATTCTTTCATTATGAAATTGCATCTATCATTGGTTTTTTCAATGAATACCTTTTTTCAAATGGTTATGGGGTTGTGGGAAGACGGTGGTTGTCGAAGGTGTAGGAGGAGGGAGGACAACGATAGAAGAAAAACGTGAAACCTGGGTTTTAAGATTTTTTTAATTTATTTTTTCTTTTTGGTTGTTTTAATGCTTTTAATTAAATATTCAAATTAAAACAGGTTTGGAAGTGTTTTTAAAATGACTAAAAATTGAAAAATGTTTTTGGATTCTAAAAGCTTTTCAAGTGCTTTTCAGAATTCACTTGCACTTTTTTTTAGGGTTGCTCCAAAAACATTTTCACTAAAAGTAGTTTCAGTTATTTTAAAATCACTTCCACATGAGTTCTAAATTATGTGGAATCAAATATCCATATCAGCTGACAATTAAGGTGGTATAAAATTTTGATACAAGTAGATGGTAAAAATATAATTTCATCTATCAAAAAAATAAAAATAGTTTGAAAAAAATGATAAAAATAGCATTACTCAAAAAATTGTAGGTAACGTAGACAATGAAGCCATTTCATAAGCAATAGATAATATTTTGAGTAATGCTATTTTTTCCTTCTTTTTTTTCGAAACTATTTTTACCACTCAGATTGTCAGAAACATCCAAGTTCTAAATTGCAGTCTCAAGAATTTAGAATTCTTTAGTTCTAAAATCTTTCCGAACAATACAAAACTAAATTAAATGGACGCTGAATTTCCGCAATTTGAAGAAAATTTCATTCAAAATTTTTGAATTGAAACTGGCAAACCTTGATTCCGAACTGTTCCGTCCGAAAATCAAACCAAGTTGAAAGTCCCAAACCATTTTATTTTTCCATTGAAAACGTACTTCATATTAAGATTAATTAAGCCCAAATATATAAACCAAGTTGGATGAATAAGAGGTCTTCTCTACTGCGCATAATAATTGCACATTTAAGTTACACATTTAAGCAAGAGCCAGAATTTGCCATGATATATCTGATCCATGCATAATATCATGAAAAATGGATACAAATTTTTGGTTGCTACTTAGTATCGGCAATAGGTCTGAAAAAGTATCTAAAAATATCAAATTTAGATATTTGTATCCTGTCGAAGTAAGGAACCATGGCATATATGTTTGGAATATATTCCATTTTTGAGACAGTTGAAAAAGCACTATTTCGTTGAAAGGTTCTATACATCCGCCCTTTCTCAAGGCATTTCTTTAGACAAAGACCCCATTTTTTTTTCCTCTTTTCGGATGGTAATTAGATCATATAGTCTAACAGGATATAACAGCTCTTGTTCAGATGTGTAACTTAAATGTGTATTTTTCATGTGCACTGGAGAAAATTCAGCATGTAAATATACCAAAAGAGCTAAAAAATGATCATTCTATTCGCTAGATCAAAACCTATGTTCGAGTCTCACTGCCAACAATTTCTCTCTTGATGGGCTATGTAAAAACCAAAAAAATAGCTAAAACCCTTTGTAAGTCCTTAAAAAGACTTGTGATATGCTTTGGTCCTGAAATGAGGTAGTTTTCCTTCTCCCGAAACATTTTTTTACTTCAAAAAAACAAAAAAAAAAGAACCCAAAGGCCCAACTTAATCTTTGGGCTTCTCAAAGCAAAATACAAAACGCACACAAAACATAAGCGATATTCAACCCAACGGTCACTAAAACAGAGCACACACTTTTTCTCGAAAACCTTATCCGATTATTCTCCTCAAGCTTCATCCATGGCGTCACTGATACTCGGAGCTCCACCAGCCCCCCCTCAATCGCTCGCTTTCAGCTCCCGCATTTCGTTCTCTCACTCCGAAACCCTAGCCGTTTCTCTCCCCTCCTCCACTGTTTCGCTATCACTCTCCACAGCTTCTTCTCCACCAGTCCCTTCAGGTATACGTAATTCCCAAAACCTCTCTCTCGCTCTCTGTAACTTTCCCTAATTTTTTCTCTGTGCTTCTGCAGTGTACTGCGGCAGAGGCGATAAGAAAACCGAAAGGGGAAAGCGCTTCAATCACTCTTTTGGCAATGTAAGTCAAATGTTCTGAATTTTCACCGTTTCTCATAAAAAAGCTCATGAATTTCTTTAATTTGAAGACTTTCTGTTTCTATATTTGTAAATTTGCGAAAACATGGGAAATTGAACTGTAGGCGCGGCCGCGGAACAAGAACAAAGGCAGAGGACCACCTAGGGTTCCGGTGCCAGCGGCTCCCCCAAAGAAAGATAAGTTTGAGGACGATACCATTGTCAAGGTTGAAATTGATGAGTCCTTGTCTTAATTAATTAATGGAGCCCAATTTCTCTAATTTCTGTTTTTAATTGTAATTTATGAACCTTGAGTTTATGTTATGAGGATTTTGATCAAATAATTTTCTTTGTCTTGCTTGGAATTTATGAATTAAACCTCCCAGCTCCAATTTCCATGATTTTATATATTTTTTATATTTTCCTTATAGTCTGGGAGGACAATTTGCCAACTTCCCGGATGTGTTTTTGCGTTTCATTTGTTTATTTTAGTCTTTTTAGCCAAAATTATTCTCATACTGATATAACTACTCATTTTGGTCATCCACAATAAAAGTCAATAGAAATGGCTATTGAGCTTGTTCATTATAAATCGTTTTGTTCATTCCCTGAAAATCTGTCGAAATCCTCGTTATCTGAGGAGTTGGTTTGACAAAATATTCTTAAAAAGGTGGTTACTGGTCGTTCACATGACTATTTAACCAGGATATTGACAGATTTTTCAACGAATGATCAATATGATTTACGGTGGACAAATATCACTTCTATCTATTTTCATTGTTAGTACCAAACTGGAGAGTTATGACAATCTCAGAGACCATTTTAGTTAAAAAAACCTTTATTTAATTATCTAAAATTTGGATTACCTATTGTGTTACTGTCTTTCTTTTTGGACACAAAATCTTCTTGGAAAGACATGGAAGGAAAAACAAATGGTTTTCGTACCGCCGGCTTTCGCCATTGTTATTAGTTTATTGCCGGCTTAGTCCCAGCTGTTGGTGTTTTCCTGCCCTCTTCTTCTTCTTCTTCTTCATAAACCTGCATCTTGTCTGTTCCCTTTGTGCCATCCGAGTACCCTAGATCTTTAGGGTTAGGATGAGTTTATCGGAAATAACCAAAGAGAAGGATGATGATGAGAGCGAGTTCTTTGTCGATCCAGAAACGCAGAAGGAGAGGATAAGGCGGATTATAGAGTATCAGAAATCTCTATATCGGTCTTCATCTTCTTCTTCTTCTTTGTCTTCCTCTTCTGCTTCCTGTTCCTCGTTTTCTTCAGCTCGGAGAAGTAGCAGTTTGTTAGGTTTGATGAAAGTAGGAAACACATCTTTGAGGAGATTGTTTGACATGGAGCATACGAGTTTGGCGAACCATTTCGAGGATTTCAGTGGCTCGTCGATAATTAAGCCTATCCTTCTATGGGGGAGTGATACGGACAATGAACACGAAACCCGTGACCCCTGGGAATCCATCAAGCAGTTTAGATCAATAAATCATTCCAGGATTGATGATGTACAGGATGAGTTTGCTTCAGACGGTAACTTGGGTGGAGATTCTGGCTTTCGGGATAGGGAAGTTACAATCGGCACCCGCAGGTTGACTAGGAAAAAGTCATTTAGAAGATTGCCACGATTTGGGTTATGGAGATGCAGAGGATTTAGATTTCGATTGAGATTAAGGCGGCTTAAGATTGTTTTTTGTAGAAGAAAATGTTGAGATTAGTCTGCAGACTTGTAATACAAACCACATTTGTTTATATATAAAAGAAAAGGCTAAGTTCTAGTAACATACTGAGACATGGAATGTGTTCCATAACTTGTTTACAGAATCTAACATTTACAAATAACAACCAAACAATGGGGCTAATCGAAATAAAAGAAGATTGATCGAAATTTGTATGATCGGAAAAAAAAATTAACGAAAAAAAGAAAGGAATTCCAAGAAACAGATACTAATTTCCAGTCTGCGACTTCGTCACTGATTGAAGATGCTTCACCGTTTATTTGCTTAAGATTCTTGAATAACTCTATATGTCGTTGCAAATGATGCAGTGATCGGAGATTAATCTCTGCATAATGCTTCCTTCTTGGACTACTTCTCTGCTGCTTTGCTTGTTCCATAGGTGTACTCCATAAGTCTCCCCGCTAAGCTGAAGCAGCTTTGCTTTTATCCATCGTGAATGAGCCGGGCTTCCCGGCTTTTTAAACAGCCCCCCGATCCTATTCCAGTCGACAGGGTAAAAGGCGAGAGGGGGTAGAATCGTGAAGTTATAACCGGGTCGGTTTTGCACCCTCAGGACCACTCTGGAGACCAGGTAGGGACCATTATGCCCCCATTTATTCCCATCAAAAGTCAGGGCAAATTCCTTCATGAACTTGTGCAGAAGGGGATGATTCGCATCAAAGATCAGAACTGCATTATTTAATCTGGTCCAGTTCTTCGAAACCACATCCGCACTTTGTGCACCAATCGAGTTTCTCAGTCCTGAGAATGATTTCAAGACGATGAAGTCTGTGTCTAAATAAACTCCTCCATACTTGTATAGAACTGCAAGTCTAATCAAATTCGACAGGTTCTGGGCTAATGGAATCTCACCAGGGTCTCTGTTGCCTCTCTTCATCCCAGCAAACCAGGTTTTTGCCGGTGTGTTGTTGAACAGAAATGACAAGTCTGGTGTCAGCATGAACTTTGAACCCACTATCCTGCAGCGGTTTCAGAATTCTGTAGCCGTGCTTGGAGTCCATACTTCTCGAGATAATCATCAAACATCCGCGTGGGTGGGCTTTGAAGAGACTTTCCATAGTCAAGAACTCTCTGCTCCCAAAAGACCTTGCCGGCGAAATCCATGTCATAAAGAACTGACCCTCACACTCCTTGTTAAAGAATTCCAGAACACGGCCATGGAATTGCTTTGCAGACTTGTCTGACTTGAGAATGTGAAATTCCGGCAGCTTGCTTCGGAACCAAGCAATTCTCTCTTCTTCTGTGACATTGAAAGGAGGAACAAGAGGCCTTGTGTTTTCTCTACCAACTTCAATGGTCTCGTCCTGCATGGAATGCAGGACTAAGCGACTTACATCAGACTTGATCAGTCTGCCTGCAGAATTATGATCATAATTCTGCAGCAACGGAGAAATCGCTTCATTGTCCGACGCCAATGACCGTTCCGAGTTGCTATAGATGATTTTATCGGCATTGACGATGAAGATGATTGCAACAATTGAAAGAGTGCAGAAGACGTGAAAGTTGGCGAGGCTAAGTAGGCAGCTGTCGATTCGAGTCATGGTAATTGTCAGAGGCGTTGCTGCATGGGGAAAGAAGTGAAGTTGAAGAGATATAGCTCAAGAGGAACTTTCATGGCGAATAGATCAATGTACTTGACGACAGACACGCTTATCCAAAAGAAAGGTTGGTTGCAGGCTTTCTATAGTTCAATGTTTGCTCTTTAGGCGTATGGTGTTGAAGCATTCAGTAATCTGAATTTTTGGTAATAGTCAAATGGCTAGCCACCTCTAAAAGTATGCCCTGACACCCAAATTGTATGGGATATGGTAGTACATAATTAGGATCGTAAATGACTAGTTCGTTTAGCGGTACTTTATTTTTACTTTGGTGAAGGATGTCAAGTTTAACTCACACCCAAGGTATTAAATATCGATGATATCGGAAATATCGATGGAAATATCGGGATAATATCAATATCGATAAAAATAATATGGAAACCACGGAAATTGTAAGAAAAACTTGGAAATGTTTATTAAAACTTTGCAGGATGTTTATTTAGTCAATTATCTATTAGTTTATCACAAAAAATTGGAAGGAAATGCATTGCATGATGGATTTAACATTATCAAGTTGATTATATAGCGAGCTGACAAATATTGTGAGTGTAGAAAATTGTACCATTCCTAAAAGCTGTAAAAGTTGAATTATTTAGATGCTTTTCTTTTCTCACACCGTCACACACCACCTACACACACACACGCCACCGACACACACACACGCGCACACACAGGGATCACACACGCCACCACACACGCACAACAACACACGCACACAGAGACGTCAGTCATCTCTGGATCCTTCTCTCTTCTCCCTTTCCCTTCTCCCATAAACACACACACAGATCTCTCGAATTCTCGATCTTTCTCTCTTCTCCCACATGGCCTTCTCCTCCTCCCTCGCCTTCCTCCTCGTCCGCAGCTTCTGCCTCGTCGGCGAACCCAGGAACTCTCCGGCGAGTTCTCTTGATCCTTATCCGCCTTCCTCACCGATCCCACCGACAACAACCCCACCTCTGTCGTTGACTCCAGCGATGACCACCATGACCCCCAATCGCCCCCAAACCCCAACCTCAACCTCCACAACAACCACCCATTCTCCTCCTCCCCCCGGAGCCTGCCCTGCTGGCGTCGCGCTCGCCTCTGTCTCTGTTCCACGTCTGCTTCAACCAAGACCACGCATGCTTCGTCGTGGGGACAGACCACGGGTTCTTGATCTACAATTACGATCCGTTCTGCGAGCTCTTTCGCCACGACTTCGACAAAGGCGGGGGGAATCAGCGTCGTTGAGGCGTAGATCTTGGGTCTGAGCCTGGATTGCGGAGAGAGATCTGAGCAGCTGGGACGACGCAGCCTCGGCTGCCTTTTCGACGACGGAGCCACGACGACTTTTTCAATAATATAAAAAATATCGCGATATTATCGATAATATCGCGATATTTTGACAATAATAAGACGGATACGTGGGAAAATATCGGTGTCTCTGAAAAACGATAATATCGGCGATATATCGCCGATATTATCGATATTTTAGTCATTGCTCACACCCAAATTGACACTGCAATACAAATGCATTCCACAAACCACCCCAAGGTTGCATCTATTAAACACTGTGTCAGATGTCAACAAGTGTATTAATTTTGTATGTCTACGTAATTATTGTTTAATACAAATGTGTGACTCATTATGACTTGTTAAAGTACATTTGTATCTCCTAAAATTAATAAAAAAATATCGATGGTCCATCACATTATCGATAAAAAGATGGTGATGGAAACATGTTTTACAATAATCTTTATTTAATCATTTAAAAAAAGCCAATAATCTTTGTTTATTGATTAGGGAATTGCCCTATTGCTTTAATTTTCAATGACTTAGATAGCAAGCTACCTTGGTATTTCTGACCAACCCATACTTTAGCATTGAAAATGTAATTTCATCAAAGCATAAAGGGGGGGCCTTACCGTGAAATTAAATTGTTTAATTTAGAAAAAGGGCTGATCAAAATCATTGGATTATCTAACAACTTGGCCATGTTGTTGGTGTATTTATTTTCCTCATACGTCCATTTTTAGTGGACCTAGAGAGGAGGATACATTGCATAAGGTTTATAAAACAATGGATTTATGTAATTATGTTGTGTCTTATTCCTTATTCTTTGTCCACGTGGTTATATTGGATAATTCATCTTTTCATATTGGGTTGAAATATTATTTATTCTAGTGGACAGAATATTGATTGTTCTGTTACCTACATACATTAGCTTTTCTTACCCACGACAAAATTTGTTGTATACAAATTCTTATACGTATACAATCATAAATATTTTTCTTTGTTATAATAAACCATGACATGTGAGTCAAATTTTCCTCTTGTGTGTTACACTACATCTCTCATAGACATGATACAATCAATCTGTTTTGAGGTCTATAGAAATTCTTACACACAATTAAGAATATACACTCTTGTATTTACATCTGTCATCACATGAGACATCATTTAATAGTACATTGACAAATGAAGTGATGCAGTTAAATTTTTCTTTATTACGAAAAACCATAACATGCAAATATTTTCCCCGATTACACAACATCTCTCTGGCTATATGATAAAAATAACGATTTTTTTATACCTCGTCATCCACATTAGTCCAAGATAAAACCTGTACAAGTGGCTTAAATAATAATGTTTAACAATACTATTTTTAACATGGTGACTTATGTTTCAGATATAGGTAAATCACAACTCATTGTAAAATCATATGATTTTTTGTCTACCTTTTTCCTAATGAGAAAGTATGTTGAAGGGGTTTTTCTGTTACTGAAATAAAAACTAAAAAAATTAAGGTGTGCACATGATTACAATATAATTTGTTAGCTAATATGATCCACGCAGTACTACTTGTCAACTATTTTGATTTTCTCAGTATTCATTTTTCTTCATTTTATTTATCGATCAAGAGGTTGCATGCAACATTTGGAACATGTAGCAAAATTATTCAAGTCATAGTTTTAAGCAACGCACGTAATCGCATATGAAATATAATTAATATATATAGTGCCAGCAGAAAAATACGTATATATGATTCGATTCAAGTTGGGTCCATGCAACTTGTGACTTGTTTTGCATTGGGGATTAAGATAATCCTTACAAATTATTCCGTGATTACTTGGCTGATTCACGTTAATATTGTATGTTATATGGTAGATAAAGTGTTTTTATTAATGATATTCTTTATTACATATATAATGTATTAGATAAGGTGTGTACTCGGTCGTGCTAAAACATTGTTTACTTTTTTAATTAGTGATGTAGTTGTTGTAACAATTTCTTATGAGTTGAATCAAATTGGATGGGGTCTTGGAATATTATTAGCTCCTAGTCCTGGTTTAGTAGAAAGTAAAAAAATATTTATTGCATTAGTAGAAGCGAAAATGTTGAAATGAAAAAGTTGCTAGCACTCTTTTCAACGTAAGAAACCCGCATGGTTCAGAAAAATTCTAAGGTTGTACATGTACAATTGATCATGAAGCTCGTCAAAACTTAAGTGCAAGAACGACTCCCAACTTTGATTATTATGCTGGGAGCCATCCACTCTAAGCAGTTGTACCTCGCAAAATTCTCAAGAGAGAATAATTTTTTGATATAACAGTTCTAGAAGGTGGACAAAGTTACGAATTTTGCTTGATTTATAAAAAAAAACTAGTATCTAACCCAAAGTCAATATCAGTGGAAACATCAATTTTGCGTATTCAACATGAACACTAATAATTAAACATAACTCCCTAATTATCGTATAATATGACCAAATAACTGAACTGTTCATATGTGGAAAAGTTGAGCAAACTAGAAATGGTTCTTAATAGCAAATGATGCTTTACTGTAATGGCGAAAACAAAAAATGCACCAATAATGCCTCTACATTATGGTGGGGATTCAATCTCCACCTTGACTGGCTCTGAGATATTAGGACCCTAAATAGAAGGTAGTAAATGGGCCTTTGTATAAAAAAAAATCATGCTACAAAGCTAATTTATATGTATATTGTTTTATTCATAGAAAGGTTCTAAATAGTATCATTACTCGAGTTATAGTTGAAATCAACAAAAAATGAAGAAAAAAATAAATAAAAACAAAATTTAGAGCAAAGATGGCAGAATCAAACTAAAAACATAAAAAGTGAGTTCTCTTATGCATGGAGGTTATATTTCTCTTATTCACATGCAAAACCTAGAAAATTTCCCAAAGATGAAGTGTTTGTGCCACCAACCAAATTGGTACATATTTAGATGATATCATCTTTTCGGAGCCCTTCAAAATTTGGAGCCTTGTGCAAGGATACCTATTGCACATGCCGAAAACTGCCATTATCCTTACTGATTCCCCTCTCCACTAACACATAACAATTTGACCTATTTACGCTATCGGTTGTAAAAAAAAAATTAAAAATTAAAAAAAAAAAAGAAGAAGAAATTGTCACTATTAATGTAGAGAGCTTTTCTGTGACCTTTTGAGAACAATAATATTTGCCAAATAAAAAGAAGCTTAAGATAATATAGAGAGAGAGCTTAAACTTCTTTTTCATTGGCAATTATTATTTTATACATTAGAGCATCTCCAATGGAAGTCCTTATTTAAAAACTTCCACCACCACTTTTGAGTACTCATTTAAGGATTTAAAGAGAATCTTGTGTCCCTAAAGAAATATTGCCTCAAACGAGAGTCCTTATAATAGAATCCCTAAATTTGAAGTTCTTATGATTTTATTTGATAATTTGATTAGGTGCACATTTTTTATTTATACCTTTTTTTAATTAATTAAAAAATAAAATTAAAAAAATTTAATGAAAATGACTTCAAAATTTTGAATTTTAACCAAAAATCATGCAATAACTTTATTTAATGAATAAGGCAAACCCCAATATCAAATCAATCCAATAAAACAGGCCCAAGCAAAGTAATTTATTGAGATTCCGATTTTACCCCTAACGTCTTTTATTGGCCCGTTTATTTATGTCTGTCCCCTTGGACTTGAAGGAGAAAAGCTGATTCACTTCAGTTGGCGTTCCCAAACGCCCGTGATTCCATGAAATTCAATCCATTGCTGCTTCTGCTGTTCTGATCGCGAACCCCAAATCCCAAACTCCTAAGCCCAAATCAGATGGGCAGCAAAAGCAAAAGCAAAGAGAAGAAAGCAGTTGGAGGACTCAATCGACGACGATAAATTACTTTGGTTGATTATATTTGCTGTACACGTTCTTCTTAGA